CCCTGTGGACACTCCTTAGCAGTGTCAAATTATGACAAATGGCGTGGGTAAAAGTTGCTGGGTGGCAGCTGCCGCATCTCAGAGGGAAGCAGGTATTTTTAGCACCGCGCCTCGGGGCTCTGGTGCTGGGTTAATTAATCATAGAGAACAGTACCATGTTTTGTTCTTGACCCTGGTCCCCACCCCCCATCCCAGACTTGTCCCCATTCCCCTGACTGGAATACCAGCTGCAGAGGTGGAAACTGTGCACAGCTGGAGCAGCCCTGGATAGCCCTCATAACACTGGGGATACCACTCCTGCCTCCCCCAGCTAGGTTGCTGCACGGTCCAGCCCCTCCTGACCTCCTCTCACTGCTTCCCATTGCCACCAGCCACACAGGCCTCTTCTGGGCTCTTCGAGCCTCTTCCTGCCCCAGGCCTTTCCACTTGCACTTCCTTCCTGAATATTATCCCCAGGTCTCCTCCTCCTTCCTGTCCTGCCCCAAATGCTGCCCACTCCCTAACCCCGACAAAGGCACTCCCTGAGCCCACCCCCACCCGACAGGCTATCACCTTCCACTGCTTATTTCCTTCAGAGATTTAGCACCAACCCAAATCATCTTATTTGTTGATTGCTTACTTTACTGGTCGCCTTCCATCAAAATGCTGCCTGCTTGAGAGCAGGAGTTTTTTCTGGCTTGTTTGTTCTCTTGAATTTCAGTTGCGTGGCTCTGTCTACACAGGGTAGGTACTCAATGATTATCATTGAATGAGTGGATGGATGGTTGGATGGATGAATGAATGGACAGGTGGAAGCCTGGCTGGATGGATAGATGGATGGAAGGCGAATGGACAGGTGGAAGGCTGGCTGGTTGAATAGATGGATAGATGGATGGAAGCCTGGCTGGATAGCTGGATAGATGGGTGGATGAATGGAATAATAGATGGATGGATGAATGAATGGAAGGATGGATGAAAGACTGGCTGGATAGCTGGATAGATGGGTGGATGAATGGAATAATGGATGGATGGATGGAATGGATGAATGGAAGACATTTTATGGGGGCATCTGAGAAGACACTGATTGTATCGCAGTATCCTTGCCCAGGCCATAGGAGGCACCAGGACAAGGGATTCTGGGAAAAGAGTGGCTAAATAGGGCCAACAGCTGTCCTCTCTTTTAGAAATAACCAATCACATGTTCTTTGGGGTTTGGACAGATTGCTCTGAGTTCTGAGTTCCCTTTTGTTTTTTTTTTTTTAAATGATTTTTTTTTTTCTTGGGGATGGGGAGAGATAGACCAGTGTTTTTTTTTGTTGTTTTGTTTTGTTTTTTGAGATGGAGTCTCACTCTCTCGTCCAGGCTGGAGTGCAGTGGCGCAATCTCGGCTCACTGCAAGCTCCACCTCCCGGGTTCATGCCATTCTCCTGCCTCAGCTGCCCGAGTAGCTGGGACTACAGGTGCGCCACCATGCCCGGCTAATTTTTTGTATTTTTAGTAGAGGCGGGGTTTCACCGTGTTAGCCAGCATGGTCTTGATCTCCTGACCTCGTGATCTGCCCACCTTCGCCGCTCAAAGTGCTGGGATTACAGGCGTGAGCCACCGCGCCTGGCCTAGATAAACCAGTTTTAAGAGACTCCCAGAAGACTGCTTCCCACTCTGCCTGGAAGCTCCCATTAGTAGTTCATTTCAGAGGATTTTGCATGGTTCTTTCACCGAGTCTTTTTAGGTCTAATTACTCTTGGTGGAAGACACAGTTGGTTGCTCATCCTCTTCCTCTGCCTTTCTTGCTTGAGAACAGAACCCCAATTTGGTTCTGGTATGGGAGGCTTGTGTTTCAGGGAGGCCTGACCCAGCCCCAGTCCCAGGAAGGGGCCTGTGATTGGTCTCAGCCAACTGTGGGAGCCCCACGCCTCTAGTCAGTGATGCAGTTAGAAGGGGCCCAGGAATGTGGCTCTAACTCATGGGATGTGAGGAGCTTCTAGCTTCTGAGCATTTTCCTCCCTTTAAAAAAGGTACACGAAGAAGGAGGGCCTCTATGTCATGTCCTTTTTCCCAGTCCCCAAAAGGACCAAGGCTTATTTCATTTGCAGAGACAGATGAAGGCATATGATGGGGTGGGGTCCTGGGGAAACCATCTGGCTCTCACTGGCAAGCCATGGGCAGGGTCCCACAGGAATGGTGCTCAGACCCAGTGATGCCCAACCTGGGGAACTATTAGAACATGCCCACTATTGAGTCCCATCCCATTCAGGTTTAATCTGATTCTCAAGGGCGGGACTGGGATCTCTGCGGGGCTGAGGTGCCCCTCTTGTCCCCCCATCATCCTGAGACATGAGGAGGCTATAACCACTGAAATAGGCCAGGGACAGAGAAACCCATCTGACAGTGGGTTCAAGGCCCGGAGATGTTAGAACTCCTTTTCCTTGAGAACTTCAAGGGAACAAAGTGATTGGCTTCTTAGTTTCCTAGTTTATATGGAAGGAAATTTTGTGAGAAAGGCATAGTCCTTGATTATGAAATTTCTAGGAGGAGAACGTTCAGGAAAACATGTGTATCAAGTTGCCCTGTTGAGGATGCTGCCCTGAAGGCTCGGGAGGCCACCAAGCCTGGGGTCTTCCCCTGACAGCACTCACTCACTTCTAGCTTCTGCTGTGCTCTTGTGGAAATACCGTCCTCCCCTCTGGTTCTGAGAAGCAAACTGCAATGTCATTTAAAAATAAACACCAGGCAAGTGGAGAAAATGCTATTCCACACGCCTTTTACTACTTTTCTTTCACAGATCTGGTTACGACTTCCACCATTCCCCGTGAGAGGCAGAGAAAAAGAGGCAGAAAATAAAAGAGAGAGAGAGAGAGAAACAGAAAAGCACTCAGAGAATGATAGAGACTGCCCTTTTGCTGATTCAAAAAATATTTATTGAGAATCTATTATGTGCCCAACATGCACATACTCTCTTAATTAAATACACCACAAGATCACATGCTGTTTTTATCAGCTCCTCAATCCCCATCTAGCTCTCTTAGGTAGTGGAATCAAGAGGTTGCTGTTTTTGCTAAGACCAGTAGGTGTCATCATGTCAGCGGGAAAGCCAGGGGTGCCCGGGATTTGACAGCCACCTGTGAAAATAAGTTTTATTTCATGTAGTTCTCTGAGTGCCAGTATATGCAGGGCACCAGGCAGGATGCTTGAGGGTACACAGGGTAAAAAAATCATGATCCCTGGCCTCATGGAGTTTACTGTGCCATCAGGGACCTGGAAGGACAAAGTCCTAAGTCACAAAAAGAGGGAGAAGATTGTAAGTGCCTCAAGAGAGGTTTAACTGAAGGACTATGTGGATTCTTCAAACATCAGAGACGTCAGAACAGCCAAATCCTGCCTTTTCACATTATGGTGGAAGGAATAGGTTCCGAGAGGGAAGGTGATTGACCTAGGGTCACACAGCAATTCCAGTCTCCAGATCTCCTGACTCCTAGAAAAATGCTCTTTCCACCATTCTGTCTCAATAATCGAAGTTGCTTTTTTCATCTTGCCATTTAAAATTTCACCTTATTGCTTGATACTTTATTATGCTAAAAAAGCCCCACAAAATCCCCCAGAAAATTTCACCTTAGTTTAGCCTTGAACCTCCCTGCAAAATGCCCTCTCTGATGCCTACTGCAAGGCTCCCTGGATAGGTGAATGTGCATCTCAGAGGAGGCAGCTGCCCTCATCACAGGCCCTGTGGTGCAAGAGTCAGCTTGCAGCGGCTCATGAGAGCTGATTTTGTGCATCTCTTCCCAGTGACATCATGTTGGTAGCTTGAAATTGGCCATGGTGGGAGTATTTACGCCATGGAAATTGGCAACAGCTATTAATAGATATCAGAGTTTTATTCACTTTTCCCCATAGAACTGCACACCACTAAATTAGTATTCCTACTTTATAGATAAGAAGATTGCGGCTCAGGGAGATGGGGTAATCTGCCAAAGATAGGTAGCTTATAAGTGGAGCTGGGACTCCAACCTAGGTGGTTTGATGCTAGAGTGCTTGGCAATAGTAGATTGAATAGGACTTAGGGCCACTTTGACATGGAAGGGTCTAGGTTGAGCCTACGTTTCTTAGTCTATTGTGTGCTGCTATAGTAAAATATTGGAGGCTGGGTAATTTATAAAGAACAGAAATATATTTCCTTACACTTCTGGAGGCTAGGAAGTCTGAAATCAAAATGCTGGCATCTGGCAAGGGCCTTCTTGCTGTGTCATTCCACAGCAGAAGACACCACATGGTAGAAGGGCAAAGAGAGGGTGAGAGAGAGACATAAAGGGGCTGAACTTATCCACTTATAAGAAACCTGCTCCCAAGATAACAGCATTAATCCATTTATCTCTTAAAGGGTAGCCTAATCATCTCTTAAAGATCCTTCCTCGTAATCCTGTTACAATGGCAATTAAATTGCAACATGAGTTTGGGAGGGGACAAATTTTAGCATCACAGCACCAGTTGTCTTATGTGGGCTCTGGTGTGGATGCTGTTCTGGGTTGCTGTCATTAATCTGACAGCAACACTGGAACAGGAACTGGTTTGGGTGAAGAGATCACCGATTCAGTTTTGGATGGTTTGAATTGGAGGCCCATTGTTGGGGAGACATTTAGATTTGGAGCCCAGGAGAAAAGTCTAAGCAAGAGACTGAGATGTGCAAGATGAAGGTTTGTTCCTGACTAAACCAAAACCAAATGTAGATTAGCTGAAGTATTTTCGTTTGTTCTAATTATCAGGTAAAAAGTACAAGAATTACCTTTCTACGTGTTTTTTCTCATATTTGTCAACATTCAGGTATGTTGGAGGACCATGCACTCACTTGCTCCCTGATCCTAGTGTGTAGTGAGCACTTAGTATTTATTGGATAAATATGACTAACTCATTTTTACCCTGCATCTACTGAATCAGCCATTGCTGTGGACCACACATCAAAATCTAAGTACATTTCTCACAATTTCTAAGATTATCTGGAATTCTGGCATCATTATAGGAGTATGGATTTGGAATAAGAGATTACTTTTTTAGCATTTTAGAGCTACAAGTGGGATTAGGTATCATTTCTTACAATGTCTTTGTTTTACTAGTAAGGTACTAAAGCCCAGAGACCAGTCCAAGACCATGCAGGTCCCTTGCCAGTGTGGGAGACTACCCAGTCCTGGCAGCCAGTGAGCCTGGCCTGGCTTGCCTTGCTCTGGCCAATGTACTTCCCTGCTCTGGGACTTGGTTTGTTCCTCAGGTTAAAGAAGAACCTGAGTTCTGGTTCTGGAAGGGTGATGAGTTAAGGATCCATATCTCAGGAAGGCAACTTGGTCAGATAAACAGACAAAGCTCTAGGTAACCAAGCAAGGAAGCTACAATATGCAAATGAATGGATTGTGGCTTTCTTTCTGGTTGGTTGAAGGGGCCCTGATGTCACAATTCTAGGGTTTCTCCACTCCGAATGATCGTGTCTCTAGCCAAAAATATTTATTGACCTGGCTGGTCTCTTGGCTTCCTCTCTTTGTCCAACGTAGAAGAGAGACAATGGAATCCCTCTACCAGGCTGGGTCCATTCTCATGACGGTGAATACCTTACAGGGGAAGAAAATGGTAGAGAGTGGCCTTCAGTCTGGAGACTTTTCCCTGTCCCAGTCATGGCCCTCCTGCCTCCCGCCACCTGCCGACTTGGAGATCCTGCAGCAGAAGGTGGCCGGGGTGCAACGGGAGCTGGAAGACTTTAAGAAAGAGACATTGAAGTCCATCCATTACCTTGAGGACTCCTTCTGCGAGATGAATGGTGCCCTGGTGCAGCAGGAGGAGCAGGCGGCTCGTGTGAGGCAGCGGCTAAGGGAGGAGGAGGACCGTGGCATCGTGCGCAACAAGGTTCTCACTTTCCTGCTGCCGCGGGAGAAACAGCTCCGGGAGCATTGCAAGCGGCTGGAGGACCTGCTGCTGGACAGGGGCCGCGACGCCCTGCGTGCCACTAAGAAGAGCCAGGCTGACTGAGCCTTGTGGGTAGCACTAGCCAAGCACCAAGTAGATGATTTTTTTTTTTTTTTTAAGTGGAAGGACAAACCCCAAGTCCCTACCCGCTTGCTTTCCTTTTCTCATTTCCATTGCTTCCCTTCTACCTAAATAACACCTTGCTGAGAGGCAAAAAGACTTCAATATGTTTTTTTGGTGAAATTCCATTTATCCAGCACTCTCAAGGAAGGAGGCACCCCACTACTAAGTCAGGCCCCTGTAACTTTCACTTGAACTGTTTTCCTGTTTGTAATGGTACTATTGCTCAATGTATACTTTTTTTTTTTGTACAGTATATTCTTAAACTGATTGTGCTGAACAGATTCACCTTTTTTTTTTTTTTTTGAATGATTCAAGGCTCTCATAATTTGAGACTTAATGTGTGGTCAACTGATACCATGTCATGTAACTCAAGATCTCCCCAGAGGGTTCAGACTGCTTGCCCGTGCACTAACACTACCCCAGATTGCTCTGTTTTTAGTATTCTAACCCTTGCCTGTATGGTCTTTCTGTCTCCCTTCACTGTTAGACTGTCACATCTCACTTTTCTTTGCTGTGTCTTTCTACCTCTACTTCCTTTCCTGCAGAGCTTATTAGGACTGTGTGGGTGGAACTCGCTGAGCTTTAGTGACCGATAATGCAACACCTCTGAGATGGGAGTAGGAAGTGGGGAAACTGATTTCTGTGTTTGATCCGTGGAGCAGGAATTGTTGTCACAATGCCTGGCCATTTATCAGGCAATACAGACATACCATCCCACTTACTTCCATAGGCACTCATTGGAGGTGAATGTTGATTTTGCATGGTTCACACTGGGAGACTGGCCACAGGAAGGCAAGTCCAGTACCCAAGGTCTGCACCCCAGTAAGTGGCAGGGCCATGGTTTAAGTCCAGGTCAGCTGTGCTCATTTGCCTCCTGCTGCACCCCTCTCTGCTCCCCAGTTTTGGAACCACTTTAGGCTGTTCATGGATGTGTTCTGGAAGGCTGAGGCTATCACATGGGTGATTTGGGAGTTCATTAGCTGACACTATACCTTTTATTTCCAATTAGTCTTCTATTTCATCAATTCATACATCTTCTCTCTGGCGGCCCAAATGCTGCCATGCAGCAGGGATTCTCCTCTAAACAGCAGAAGCGAGGTGCCTGGAGACGAGAGCCAGTCCCTGAACAGAGTCAGGTCTGTCTTTCCAGCTCTGAGCTTACAGCAGATTCCATATCATCTGATCTTCTGTGGCAGTCTCATCCTCCCTCTTTCTTCTGTCATAGAATCTCCCCAGCTAAGATTTGAACATCTGGAACTTCTAAGCTGCACTTCCCAAAAGGACCCTGTGACCCGTGGTTAATTGTAATACCCATCCAATAGCCATCTACCATGAAGGGTTGCATCCCTACTCTAACTTTAGGCAGTTTTTTGTTGTTGTTGTTGTTTGTTTGTTTGTTTGAGATGGAGTCTCTCTCTGTCACCCAGCCTGGAGCGCTGGAGTGCAATGGCGTGATCTTGGCTCACTGCAAGCTTCACCTCCCAGGTTCAAGCAATTCTCCTGTCTCAACCTCCTGAGTAGCTGGGACTACAGGCGCATGCCACCATGCCCAGCTAATTTTTGTATTTTTAGTAGAGTTGGAGTTTCACCATATTGGTCAGGCTGGTCTCAAACTCCTGACCTCAGGTGATCACCCACCTCGGGCTCCCAAAGTACTGGGATTACAGGAATGAGCCACTGCGCCCAGCTGCTGTTTTGTTTTGTTTTGTTTTGTTTTTGTTTTTTGTTTTTTTGAAGAGAGTCTTACTCTGTTGCCCAGGCTGGAGTGCAATGGTATAATATCAGTTCACTGCAACCCGGCTTTCAAGTGATTCTCCTGCCTCAGCCTCCCGAGTAGGTGGGATTACAGGTGCGCACCACCACGACTGGCTAATTTTTGTATTTTTAGTAGAGATGGGGTTTCACTTTGTTGGCCAGGCTGGTCTCAAGCTCCTGACCTCAAGTGATCCTCCCACCTTGGCCTCCCAAAGTGCTAGCATTACAGGCATGAGCCACTGTGCCCAGCCTTTAGGCAGTTTCTTTGGAGGATTCAGCTGAAGTATTAATAATGGTAATACTAACAATATGAATATTATTACTAATATAAGAGCTTAGTGTTATCAAGAATATAATATAGTCCAGCCACCATGGTTGGCCCTTTGAAGGTAAGTACTGCTGTGGTTTGAATGTCCCTTCCAAAACCCATGTTGAAGTTTTTTGTTTTTTTTTTGTTTTGTTTTGTTTTTGTTTTTTGAGAGGGACTCTCTCTCTGTCACCCAAGATGGAGTGCACTGGCACGTTCTTAGCTCACTGTAGCCTCTGCCTACCAGGTTCAAGCGATTCTCCTGCCTCAGCTTCCCAGTTAGCTGGGATTACAGGCGCCCACCACCACACTGGGCTAATTTTTGTATTTTTAGTAGAGACAGGGTTTTGCCATGTTGGCCAGGCTGGTCTCAACTCCTGACCTCAGGTGATCCACCCGCCTTGGCCTCCCAAAGTGGGATTGCAGGCATGAGCCACTGTGCCTGGCCTCTCATGTTGAAATTTAATTCCAAATGTAACAGTGTTGGGAGGTGGGGCCTTTATGTGGTAAAAGATTAACGCTATTATCACAGGAGCTTGGTTAGTTATCTCAGGAATAGGCTCCTCATAAACGGATGAGTTTGGCCCCATCATATTTCCACTGACATTGACATTTCTTTGGCCATATCTGGGTTGCTTGCCCACCCTAAACCAATTATGAAAAGAGGAGAGCAATTGCCACAACTCTGCTCCTGGGCCTGGACACTTCAGTTACCCAATATCCAAAGAAAATCAAGGTTCCATTAATGAGGCTGGTGGTAACCAACCCCAGCTGCCACATCCTCAGTCTTTTTTTTTCTGTACCATGGATACTGAGGGCCAGGAAGAAGACAGCTCTGGGAGATGGCACTGGCTGGGCAGTGTTGTGCAGTGTGGGTGGCTGTTGCATGGCTGCAGGGAGCATGGAGTTAGGTCTGGGAATTGGGGAGATGGGCTGGGTCTAGGTGCAGGTGCACCTCAGTGCTGTGGGTACAGGCCCACTGTCTTCAGTTGCTTCACCTTCATCTGCCTGATACCCAGCCTTCACCCTTGAAGTCAGAGGCTTGAGATGACCCAAAAGGTGCCAGGGAGACTTTGCGACCCCTTGGTCGTTAAAACAGGCAGCCACTCTTAGAGATGCAATCAGTTAACACCACCACCCAGGGCAACCAACTTGTTCCAGTTTAATTGGGATTTTTCTAGTTTTAAAACAGAAAGTCCCTCAGGCCAAGATCTCTCAGTCCTGGGCAAGCAGGGATGGTTGGTCACCTGCACTAAACATAAACATACCGTGGGGTGATCCAGGCGAGGTTGTGGGTGGGGCAAATCCCGGGAGCTCAAGGCAGGAAACAAGGATGGTAGAGGCCATACAAGCCAGGTCAGTGCATCTCTGCTGTCATTTTTAGCCAGAGGAGGCTGGCCTGTTCATTCTGCAGCTGGAAGAGCTTGTCTTTGTGTCCATTTCTCCTCCCCACTCTCAGATCCTTGCCTTCCACCTCAATCTGGCAAGAAAATTTGAGAGTGAGGCCTTTTCCGAGCAACTTTTGAGATCCTTCTGGGGACCCCTGAGATTCCTCATTAGGCCACAACTCACAGCTGCACCCTTAGTCCTGGAGGACAGAGGAAACCCATGGTGGATTAAAGAGCCAAGGAGAGGCTGGGTGTGGTGACTTATGCCTGTAATCCCAGTGTTTTGGAAGGCCAAGGCGAGAGGCTCACTGGAGACCAGGAGTTCGTGGCCAGCCTGGGCAACATAGTGAGACCCTCACTCTACAAAAACAAAAGAAATTAGCTGGGTGTGGTGGTGCATGTCTGTAGTCCTAGCTACTTGGGAGGCTGAGGCAGGAGGATCACTTGAGTCCAGGAGTTCAAAGCTAGAGCGAGCTGTCATCATGCCACTGCACTCCAGCCTGACCAATAGAGGAAGACTTTGTCTCAAAAAAAATACAAAATACAAAATAAATAAAGCCAAGAGGAGATAATTTTGCATTGTAGCTTTGGAAACTGGAGTGCCTCATTTCAACTCTTCTGCTCCCAACTGTGAACAATAAAGTTGAGCAGCCCAACTGCTCACTTTCCCTGAAATTCTAAGACAAATAGAAGACAAAAATAACAGATGGTTTTCTCCATGCCAATAGCCGTTGTTCTCAAAGGTTTTCTATAAGCTGCAAGGCTCTACTTGCTCCCCCTCCGCATCCACAGCAGTCAGAGCGCTGCTGAGATCCTAGACATATGGCTCCATCTTATGAAAACCACTGGTAGACAAGGGAGTCCTCCCTGGGACCCCAAGTCCTGTGTCCACTGCAAGCTGGGATGCTGGGGTGAGCAGCAAGGTGGCTGAGATGCAGGAAAGCAAACATGTGTGTGGCTAGGGGAGGGAACTCACCTAGTTGGCACAACTTCAGCCTTGTCTATTTAATTGATACGCCGTGCTGGGAAGAAGAAAGCACTCAGGGAGGAGCATGGCTAGGCAGAGTTGTGCAGTGTGGCTGGGAAGCAAGGGTTTGGATCTGGGCGTTGGCTCCATTCCATATGCAGAACTTTGCCTCTTGATCTGACCCAATCCTTTTAGTAATCCGCCCAGTGCTAAGAGCAGTGAGCCTTGGGCATGTTTTTTTTGACACTCACCAGGTGTCAGTCTAGAGTGACTTTCACTGGATCCAGATGTATTGGGTGTGGCTCATGCAGCAGACATAGCAACTCTTCCAGAGTTAGAGGTGAGAAGGCAAAGAGGAACGCAGGGGTTTGTCCATCTCCTCTCCTATTCTCCTCCTTTTGGCTACTTCAGAAGTGAATGTAGCTCACAATGAATGCCCAGCAAGGAGTAGCTGCTCAGGAAACATATGATGAATAGAATAGGAAGTGGTGGCATCATCTGTGCCTGTTTGTGTGAGTGGTGTTTATCAATATGACCTTTGAGAGCAGCTGACAGGAAATCTCTGGGCAAAGGCAGCATTTTGTGGCAGAGCACTGAGCCAGTGGTCAGAAGTTCCGCATTCAGATTCTAACTCTGCAGCTTCTTCGGTTTCTATTTAAGACAAGATCCTTTATCTAACAAACATTATCTCTGTCACACCAAGACCTCTGTTTCCCCATTTGCAAATTGGGATTTGTGGGGCCAACTTCCCAGGCTTGTTTAAGAGGTAATTGAGATAAGGCATGTACAACAGTGCTAAAAGGAAATACATTAAATTATAAGAGATGGCAATCTTCTACTCCTAGTCATCTAAGAGAGCCAGCCCAATTTCTAGACTTTT